GAAATGACACAGTTCTCTAAAAATATTTACTTTGGTATGTTGTGTCAAGTGATGGATTATGCAGCTTTTCAAGCCACAAGAGATGCCCACAACAAAAAGCTTCCTGTTGTTAATCAAACTCCAGCAGTTTGTCCTCTATTTTCTCAGGCAATTGAACAGACCTACAGTAGGAGTGTTAAAAGCTGGTAAAACTGCTCCCTTACTACAGCTCCCTCAATGACTGTATTTTATTTAGCAAGGCAGATTTTCATTCTGAAAATAAGGTCTTCCATATACATGACGACAGGAAGCAGCAATATTAATTTCAAGTCGTACATGTTGTATGTTGTTCCCTATCCAGCAGTTTACTAAGATTTGCTACATGATATATTGTGCAGAGCTAAATGTTATTCTTTTTCCTTCTCCTTAACCAGTCTGTAATAAAATGTGTATGCCACCCCTTGTATATCTATGTCTTAAAAATGTGTCACCCACCCACATTTTTTGAGACAGTAAGGCAGCAATAAAAATATTTTTCCTGGATGCTAAAAGATATTGCAGAATAAATAGCAAGGAAGTAATTCATGTGTAAAAACAGCATCTTGCAATATGCTTTCGCAGGAAATAAATTGATTTTAGAAATAGGAACAAACAGGGCTTTTTTTACATGAACATTTCTGTCCTGGAAAAAAAAGAGACACTTGAGACGTTCCTCATTTCTTGTAAGTTAGGGGCCAATTCCTATAGGCAAGCCTGCTCCCAGTCTTGTACTTACCAATAAAGGCAGTCACATTGCAACACAGGCAATTATCAAAAACTGTGGTTTTTGATAAGGCCCTAAGGCATCATTTTCCAGAAGAGATATGTTTTTTAATCTGAATGAAAGTGAAAAAAATTTGAAAAAAGAACTAGCAACATACTGCAGTTAGTCAATGCGAAAATTCTGGTCATGGAAATGAAATGTCATGATTTCAGGTTTGGAGACAGCTGTCTATCTCAAATCACAGCCATACAGCAAGCAACAACTTACAAAATCACTTGCATCCTCTCAAATAAATACCAGATGTTTGTTTATCATATGTGCAGAAAGTTAAATGTCAAATAATTGCAGGGAAATGCATTTGATGTTCATCTTCAAAAGTACTATGTTTCATCACCACCTCTCTCCACAGTTCATTTTAACATGAAACACAAGTTCTTGAAACAAAAAAAGGACAAGAAGCACAAAACAAAAAGTTAGTTGTTAAAGATTTGTATTACTGTCTCAGCTGGAAGAGACTAGATCTGAGAAAAAGGGGTTACCTCTGGTCGTGTTAACACTCGGAGACCGCTGTGGAGGGGACACACTAAGCTGGCTGGAAATTACACACATAGTTGGACTGTATAAGCATAAGCCTCCAAAAAGCATGAGAACTCCTATCTGTTTGGTGATACAGCTGTACTAGAGCTGCTGTTCTTTGCAACAGTTCCTCTGGATAGCAAAGTACAGAAGAGCTGTGTTTTACCACAGCTGTATTTTGGTACCTTTAAGATCCAGTTGTTAATAGCAGTTGATATGGTTGAATGTCAGCTCTGAGCAGTCCCTGGGACATTTAGAATGTACATTTCATGCACAATTTTGCATTTTACAGAAAATAAACTTTCAAAAAACATTGAAAAGAAAACAAAATACATCCCAAAGTGATTAACGAAGGTGAGCTTACAGCCCCTTAAGATGTCATGCAGTTTCCAGGGTAGTCTTCTACATGATTTATTTCTATCACCTCACTTGGAGAAGATGATTGGTAAATTTAGAGCTTGATTTACACACCACAGAGGGGTGTTGCAATTCTGTTTGTATGCACCTGGACAGAAGCAGTTCCTCCAGAGGCCACTGCAGAGAACTGTCAAAGGGAGGAAAATGCCTGAAGCTCTACTGGACCTCTGCACTGAGACAGAGTTAATACTTAAAAACTCCTGCCCTTCTGCTTCTCTGCTGCTTTACCCCACCTTTCTTGTTTGCACTGCTCCTTTCTCACAAAACACTGATGGAGAAAGGTTATTCTCTCTTCCTCTATCAGCTTTTGAGCAAACACCCTGGCATGAGGCAGGTCGGGGTTTACAGCTTGCTTTTGCAAAGGGTTTAAAACTGTGGCAGACAGCTGAACACTTGAGCCATCAGCCTCCAGGCACTCCAGAAGAGCTCTGCTGTTGACATAGTTCCAGTTTTCAAGAAGCAAGTAAAGATTTGCTGATCCGGAGAGAGCACATCTATGTGCAGAGATGTTCTCCCTAGCAACAAGAGATGCCCTCCCCTCCTCCTGTACTGTATCACACAGTTACAGGAGCGCTAATGAGGTTGCCTCTTCCCTACCTGTAGGCAATAAATTACAGGCCTTCTCAGAGTCGCTCTCTTTCCCAGTGAGCTGTTAACTTCTGACAGGAGCGTTTCTGTGTACCTTTTGAATTCTGCCAGGTTTTAGGCATGAAGGTGATCTCTAAATCCTTCACATGTTTAGGACTTACTTCTGGGCAGTGGGATAGATGCTGTAGGATATTCAGTGGCCCAAGAGTTAAGGTGGTGTATTGAATACCAGCATTTGGGACTAAGCAAAATTTGGGCACCTGAAGTTCTTTGATGGGACAAGCCTGAGTTGACTGAACGGTCAGTGACTGGTAGCTGTACTTGTTAACTCAGGCATCAACTACTCAAACCTTCCCCTAAACCCCCGATGTTAAATTTTAACTTGGCTTCAAATACCTAGATCTCTTGTAATAGGCCATTGCTTGACTTTATTCACAATGAAGTATGTACTGTATATTAAAAAGCCCCTACTAGAATCATTTCAAATCAGTTGGAACAGTACAAGCTTGGGACCCTAATCATTTCAAAACTGAAGAGCTGTTTCAAATTGTGAGAGAAGCAGATCATTTAAATAACTTACCTCTGCACTCCCTCAGACTTCCAGATTTTCAAGTGCACTTCAGCCTGGAAGTGAATGTGGTATTGGACATAACTCAGTGCGGCACACTTTACAATCAGCAGAGTACAGTTTGGAGAGCATTTGAAGTTAAGCTGAGATTGCGCAGCGCAATGATGCCCAGATTCCCCCATTAACTTTCAGATTGCAACAATCTAACATCTGAGACTCTCTAGTTACTCTAAATCACTTGATTGTTTTTGTAAGGCGGTGCTGAGATTTTTTTTTTTTTAAGATTAAGACTGAATTTTTTATCACGACAAAACAAAATGTTGCAGTATTACACTCCAAAAGACAAGGGGTAAAATGTTTCATATAGACTTTACCAGCCTTAAAAACTGAGGCAGGGGCAGGGGCTTTGCCCTGAAAGCTAATTCTATCTGTCACACACAAGGCTGCTATTCTTGTGTTGGAAGACTTTAAAATGCCTTGCATATGACATGAGCATTGAGAGAGAAACCAGTCTGTCCTCAACAGCCTTTTGAGAGAGAATGCAGAGCATGTTGATTTAACTGCTCCAGTGCCTTTGGATATATGACATACACCCAGGAAAAAGGATAAAGGATGCCTGTGGGACACAGGGGATATATATTCTGGATTCTGCGTACTTTGCAAATAATTAAAAAGCCTGAGACATTCATGGGACATTCACTTAAGAAGAGTTAATTCAACCTATTATTATCCTACTAAAGTCTGAATAGCTGAAGTTTGGGGGAATAAATTATTCTGATTAATACTTTGTGAATAGTGTCATATTATATTGAAATTAAATCATTTGCTTTAGGAAACAAAGAGAATGTTCTAGCTGCAGAGAAGAAGAGAGATTAATTTGATTTTAATTGGTTTGTTGTTATGGCTAAAGAAGGGCTGTAAGGAAATGACAGGTGTTTCAAAGCTGTGGTCACCAACCTGGCTGTAAGAGTGTTTTGTGCCTAGTTTCAGCCGTTTGGCATCTGGACGTGTGCACCAGGTCAAAGGTTTCTTTTGCCAGCAGAACTGACTTGAGTAGCCACACTCTTGCACCCTACATCATCCTCCCAACTATGACAATACATCTTCTGTGATGGCAGATGCTGAACTAGATGAGGAGACAGATCTGCATGACAAATAAATAACTGGGGGAGGGGAAGGTTAACCTAAATCACTTGTCCATTTGGTTGCAATGTAACTTCAAGAGAGAAGGAGAAAGACAGAGAATGAGTGAAGAAGAGAGAAGGCCTCTAACATGTGTTCATGTACATGCCATAGCACTCATTTCTCCAGCAAGTTCAAAATGCCATTATTTTCTAATGAGTAAATTTCGCTACATTTGACAGTTTAACAGAATTATTGCACTTGTGTTAATGCTCCTGTTTTCTTCAAATACATCATATGGTACAAGCAACTCATTTGCCTTTTTCCCAACAAAATCACACAGTGATTCTTAATTATCTTGTGACTAACTAATACTCCACAGGATTCTTTTCTTCCGTTCTGTTTGCAAGTGATGAGCCTCTGGGTTTTAGCAGAATTCTTGTTATCATTCCCTAAGTGCACGACTTTGATATCGTGCTATTAAATTTCATCCCATTTCTAATACTCCAGTCCTCAGGGTCATTCAGTTCTCACTGTATGACTCTCCTCTGTATTGACAATGCCTTGCAGTTTTGTGTCCTCAGTGAATTTCATTAACATATATGCAAGGTAGTTAATGAAAGTATTAAGTAAGATTGTTCACCAGACTGATCCTTGAGGAACTTCTCTAGGAACTTGTCTGCAGTCTGGTGATTCCCACTTGCACTGATGGTGTCTCTGGTTCCTCCCCCATAGAGGAAAGATTATTCTCTAGCATGTGAATAGCCCTCCTGGCTAATAAGGCAAATGTTCCCATCTGCTGTGATGACACTGTTTACAAAAGAGGAGATTACGACTATGTTATTATCAACAACATGCTACAATTTCCTTCATATAAAATCTTTATTATCTCTGTAAAACACGGGCAGGCAGAGGGAGTGTTACTTCTGCATTACTGTTATGCTCTGAACTGATTGTCGTCACGTCCCAATTCATTCCTTACTACAGGTAGATCTAGGCCTTCTCCGCTTTGTTTCTGGAATTGGGACCCAAGGAGCCATCTCTAAAGAAACAAAGAAAGAATATTATCTGAAAACATACCGCGTAGATGTCAGCTCCAATGGAGAGGACTGGATTACACTGAAGGAGGGAAATAAGCCTGTGGTAAGTCTTCTAACTCTTTTACCTCTTTTCGACCAAGAAATAGGCAGTTGAACTGTTTGGTTGCTATCAGTTGGTTAAAGAAAAGAGGAAGAAGGTTTCACAGGTTTAATTGGCATAGTCAGGTTAACAATATCCCAAATCCAAAAGATAGCTATTGTCTCAGTAGTAATGGACCACAGAATCTGTTTATCCAAAGCCTGTCTGTTGTACCCATTAGAATTTGGGTGGTTTGGGTCTTTTCCCTGGAGTGTGCTGCTGTTTCCCAGTTTGTCAGAGATTTTTGGTGTGACCTTGAGAAAAACATTATGGGGAACCTTATAAAAAATATGTAGGTCCCTTATCTGCAGTGAAGCTCTGGATATGCAGTGCATCAGCACCTCAGCTCCCTGTGCATAGCCGTGCTGTCTTGCAGGAGTAGTTTGTTAGACTTCCAAGCATCTCAGTGATGGGGGTCATGCAGACAGATAATTAGGCACATCTTCCATCCTTGTAGATTTTTATCACCTTTCCATTTATCAGCAGATTTGCTCTCTGTGACCTCCCAATAAAACAGCTTTAGACAATCATAAGAAAAATCTTCATTATCCGCTACCATGAGCATAAAGCTCATTATTGAGAAGTCAATTCTGCTCCAACTCTCACATGAACAGTCCCAGTGAGGCTGTGCCTCCCTTCCCACTTTGCTCAGGATGTGTCTAGGAGCAACATCCCCAGAGGCTGCCAGGGGCTGATGCAACTGGAAAGGTTCTGTGGCACCTCCTTTCAAAACAGCTTTTTTGCAGCCCTTCTTTGAGGACCCAGAAGAGCTGTGTAATATTAAGCTCTATCAGTGTAACCATATCTAGCTCTAAATATTTGGTTACTGGTCTGTCCCTGATTCATCTCTAAGTGCTATGCCAAGTCCACTACATTTATCTAATCAAAATGGTAGCAGTGTTTAACACATACAACTTTCTTCTTTGAAGCACTTTGGAAAACAATAAAAAATGAATCCTGAAAGCTTCTCTTTGAACAGATATTATCCTGGTTTTACAGAGAAGGAACTTTAGAAGGTCAAATGCCACAATGCGGGCACTGTATAATGATGTATAAAGGTACAATAACTGACTTGCCCAAAGTCACAAGAGGAGCCAATGCTGTGGCTGGTATGAGACACAGGCTATCCTAGCTGTGATTCCTCTAATCTGAACAAACACCTCTTTCAAAATCAGACCATGCCTGATTTTCATTACCAACTTCAATTTGTAAACTCTCCAAGAGTGTATTCTACATGAGTTTCTATTGTGCATGCTGTCTTTAATTATTAAGAACAGTTCCTAAACCTGTCTTATTTGTTCAAAGGGTTTATTAAAAAAATCAGGTTTCTAAAATGGCAATTTTTTGCTGTTGATCAGGACCAGAAAAAAAATACTACTGTCTTTATTCAAATGAAAAGTTAAGGAGACTTGGCTACTGAAGGAACAACAAAAGCAGGCAGCTGCAGATCTCCTCAAGGCAGCCTCACACGAGTGTTGCACTAACCACATCTAGAGATTTGTGTACTTCTGAGAAAAGAATCATTTCCTCTGTCACATGCAGACCTTGAGAAAACTACAGCAGGTCCTCCCAGAGAAAAAAAAGTTGCTGAAGAGAAATGTAGTTCCATTAAATCTCTTGCTGGATATGAAACTCCTATATTAAATTACTTGAGATATAACTGAGACTGACGAGCTGACAGCTGTGCGCTGCTGGCCTCCACTCCAAATTAGTGCAGTTATTGCAAGTAACAAACAGGAAAGTAGACAGTGTGTGTAAGAAATGAGAGAATCTCCCATAAAAGGAGAGAGGGTTGTATCCATAGAAAAACAGGAAATTGGTCCTCTGTACGTGAGGAAGAAGCAGGAAACTGAATCACCTTCTTTGGACTAGAACATTGCAAGTTTTCGGCTCCGCTAGGAAGAAGCGCGTCTGCAGGATCCTCAACATGAAAGCACAGCACAATCCTGTCCCTTCTTGTGGAAGTCTCATTGTTCATCTAATTTGACTGTTAGCCTCAGGGGATGCAGAAAAAATCTTAGAGCCCACTATATAGATTTTAAATAGATTTCCATCTCAGTATGCAAGGAGAAAGAAAGTTTGAGTACTTGTTTAAAAGGATTTAAAAATGGAAGGTTAATAAAGCAAGGTTTGCATGATACACTCTGCAAAACTCTTAAGCTCAAGGACAGCAAAATAATTTATGTTTTTATCCTAATTCCATATAGGATTTTTACATAGTCTAATTGAAACCCAAACCTTTAATTTGGGCCTGAAATTCTGTATCTTTTTGCACCGTCTATGAGTGTATGAGGAGTAAAACTGCCCTAACGGGACACTGAGGGATGGCAGTCCTTGGGTGGCAAAGAGCAGTGTA